AAAGGGTGGATTTTATGATATGCTAATTATAGCTTAATTTTTAAAAGAAGAGAAAAGATGTGACTCAGAAAGGATTCGTCACAACTATGGCTCGATCGCTTATTTGGCAGTTAATTTGAGGGCATAGTCTTGAGATATTTCTCATGTGTGGAGTTCTAAGCTTTTATCCTCTCCTCCACACTAGTAGAGATCTTTTTATTGCTTCTTCTGTTTACAAAAGCAATACATGTGCATTTTTTAAAATTCTGAAAATACAAGAGGACATAAAGAATAAAATAACTTGGGGAAAAAAAAAAAAAAAACGCCACCCAGAGAAGGTCAATATTAACATTTTGGTGTACATTTATCCAGATTATTTTTCTATGCATATGTAACAGGGAAAATATTTTAGAATTAATGTGTTTTTCTCTTGTGCACTTCCTTGTATGTCAGCACCCATCATTCTGTACCAAGCATCCTCTTTCCTTAAACCATTGGATTCTTACAGCAGGAATGCAGAGTGGAAGAAAGAGTCCATGTTCCCTTGTTGACTTCTAAAATAAGATTTTTGATTAGACATGAAGAGTTTTGAAAGTCCAACATTGAGGGCGCCTGGTGGCTCAGTTGGTTAAGCGACTGCCTTCGGCTCAGGTCATGATCCTGGAGTCCCGGGATCGAGTCCCGCATCGGGCTCCCTGCTCGGCGGGCGGTCTGCTTCCCCCTCTGCCCTCTTCCCTCTCGTGCTCTCTGTCTCTCATTCTCTCTCTCTCAAATAAGTAAATAAAAAATCTTAAAAGAAAAAAAAAAAAGTCCAACGTTGATAACAGACCAGATTTTTTTTAAATGCTTTTATTTCTCATCAACCTAAGAGACACAGGCAGAGTTTTACTGAAAGTCAGGAGTAGGGAAACTCCAAGGATGGGGACATGCACTGGGGGGAGGGGGACGACTTTGGTTTGAGGATAATGGGGGGTGGGGGGAGTGGGCAGAAGGACCTCGGGGAAGGGGAGGTAGACAGGTGTATTCTGACCGGTACTCTCCGGACTGAATTCCTGGAGGGGAAAGCGTGTTGGGCAAATCGACAGGTAAGCTAAAGGCCAAGGAGACTTTGCCCTGGCCGCCCAAAGAAACCTGGGAGGAGACCGCCGCTCAGGGAGATCCCACGCCAGGCTGCGCCGCTGGGGAGCAAGAAAAGGACCGTGCGCTGCGGCTGCTTAGATGAGGCAGAGCAGCAGTCCCAAACCGGTCTGGGGTCCCCTGTGACCTAGCAGGGACCCCTCCAGGGGGAAATCTAAAACTTGGAGCAGCCAGTGTGCCTCGACCAGACCAGCGCCCCCAAGCCCCCCACTCCCGCCACCGTCTCCGCACAGCCCATGTCTGCGGGAGGAGGAGAAAGAGCCTTGTGAAGGGAATTGGACTTTGAATTGATGAATATTTACCTGATAGAGACCACTTTAAATCAAAATAGACCGTTAAACCCTGAGAGACTATTTAATCTGGAGAAGACCGAGATAACTTTAATTGGAAGGGTGGGAGTGTGTGAGAAGATTAGATGAGTTAAGAAAAGTAAGGAAGCCACCTGCCCCTGCTTTTGAGCAGTGTCCTCACTCTAGATGTTATATTTTAAGCAAATGAAATACATGAAAATGAGTACAAATTTATAAGTATTGTTAGTGTACATGTTTTTGTAACCTGGTGTTTTTCACCCTACAATATCGTTTATTATTATTATTGTTTTGTTTTGTTTATGTGTTCTTTCCCTCCAGCTAGGCTATAACTATTTTGAGGACAAGGACAGCGTTTTCTATTTCTTGGTGTCTACCTCAGTGCTGAGCACAAAGCAGACACTCCATGTCACTGCTGCCTAAAACATTTCTAGTTCTTTCCCTATATACATGCAATTAAAGTCTTGAGGCAAGCAGATAGTTTGGAACAAAGGGCCAGTGGAAGGAGCACTGCATTCTGAATACCTGCATTCTCATCCTGATCAGTCACTGACAAGGCAAGTCATTTTGCCTTTTGCCCTCACTTTCTCCACTTTTCTCACTTTCTCAGAGTTAATGCCTTCACTATCTCACATGTATGTGTGAGACTCAAATAAGGAAATGTAAATGAAATCACCAGGAGGAGAATGCAAAATGGTAAATCCAAATCTCATTTTACTAGTGACCCCAGACTAGAATATCAAAGTGCCTGAGATCAGCTTGCCCCACCTTCCTGCAAATCCACTGCTCGCCACCCTCACTGTTCGCTCTCTCTGACTGTGGCAGCCAGACTAGAATCAGTGATCTCCCAGTAAATGCTTGTTTTTATTTATTTATTTATTTTTTTAAAATATAGCTGTGTTGTTTTTTTTTTTTTAAGATTTTATTTATTTATTTGACAGAGAGAGAGATAGCAAGAGCAGGAACACAAGCAGGGGGAATGGGAGAGGGAGAAGCAGGCTTCCCGCCAAGCAGGGAGCCCGATGTGGGACTCAGTCCCAGGACCCTGGGATCATGACCTGAGCCGAAGGCAGACGCTTAACGACTGAGCCACCCAGGCACCCTAAACACTTGTTTTTAAAGAACTGAAAAGATTTTTACTTAGCTGACTTGTGACTGTTTCCTGAACACAGACGGAAAAAGGTTATTTAGAACCAGGAAAACAATAAGGGCATTTTTCACTCTAACAGTGATTAGAGATCGTTAATCCTTTCCACATCACCAATTAGCAGGTCTTACAGGTCTTGATTGAAAACAAACAAATAAAAGTATTTTCTCCACATACCAATAGTTTTAACTTAAGGCATAAGCAATGATGTAAGCCAGGACATCACCAGACAAGGAACAGCACCTTGATTTTTTAACCTGGAAGTCTCTGGTATCATGCTCTGTGATATGTAGAATATGGTTCTACATCTCATTAAAACCCACAGCTTGCTTCCAGTGGTTTCAGAACCGAAAGCAAGCATGATCCTAAATAACTCTGTGGGTTTTTAAAAAATCCTATTCCAATTTAAGTATCATTCACTATTTAAATAAATCTCTGGGGTGCCTCTGTGGCTCAGTGGGTTAAGCGTCCAACTCTTGATTTTGGCTCAGGTCATGGTCTCAGGGTTGTGAGATTGAGCCCTGCGTCAGGCTCTGTGCTGGGCATGGAGCCTACTTAAGATTCTCTCCCCCTCTCCTTCTGCCCCTCCCCCACCCCCTCTAAATAAATAAATAAATCTCTGAGAAGTACCTTCTTGAAAAGTAAAGAATTATTCATTCGTTTAGGAAACATTAAATGAGACTTTGTTGTATGCCAGGAGGTATGCTAAGCACTGGGATACAAAAATGAATCAAGCTCAGTTTAGCAGGGGAAACAGATTTGTCAATCAAGTAGTTGTTCTACAGTGTAGTAAATACAATCAAAGATGTTCACTGGCCCAGAGGAAAAAGGACCCAGCATCCAGGTTGGGTTCTTGAAACTGGCCCTTGAGCTGGATGTTTTTGTTCATGGATTCATGCCACAAATACTTAGTGTACTCTCTTTGTGTCAGGCATTGGGTAATAAGAATACAGTAGTGAACGAAACAGATGAAAATCCCTGTCCCCATGAACTTACATTATTGTGTAGACAATAATGAAGACAAGTAAATACATGATGTTTTTATCTAACTAATGAAAAGTGCTAAGGAGGAAAAATTAAACCACAAATGCAGATTTGAAATTGTAGATGAGAAGGCCATAGAAGGTCTCACTGAGAAAGTGATGCTTAATATCTAAAGAGTGAGATATCTAAGTCTTAATGTCTATGGGGATGCCACAGGACAATATGGCGGAGGGAACAGCAAGCACACAGATCCTGAAGTACAAAAGAGCCTGGAGGAACTTGAGGAAGAGCAAGGTCAGTGTCCTTACGGTAGAGTGAGTGAGGGGAAGAGTAGTGGGGAATGAGATTGAGAGGCAACAGATGAGAAAAGGGGCAGACTTTGGGCAGGAAGTCATGGGAAGGATCTGAGCAAGGAGTGACCTGATCTGAGAAGCTGATACTGCATGAAATGTTCTTGGGGGCAAAAGCAGCAAGAAGAGCTGGGAGGTCATTGCAGTGGTCCAGGTGAAAGATTCTGGTTTGGACCAGGGTGATGGCAATGGGAATGGTGAGATACAGTCAAATTCTGGGTATATTTTGAAGTTAGAGCCAACATGATTTGCTGATAGATTGAATGTGAAGTGTGAGACAGACAAAGGAATCAAAAAAGTACTAAAGTTTTTGGCATGACCCACTGCAAACATGGAGTTGCCATCAACTGAAACGGGGCAGACTGACAGGAGTTGGTTCAGGCGGACAGATTTAGAATTCAACTTTGAACATGTTAGGTTGAGATGTTTATGGTATCAACCAGAGATATCAAATACCAGTTGTATGTTTAGGTCTGGACTTCAAGGCAGAGGTTGGATATGGAGACATAAATTTGGGCACCACCAGCATGTAGATCGAATTTAATGCCATGAGCTTGGATGAAATCACCTTGAGAGAATGAGGATATGAAAGAGAACAAAGAGGAAGAAAGAAAGAAAAGAAAAGCATTCCAGACAGAGAGGAAGACATGAGAGGACAAGAAGGTAAAGACAGAAATGAGTTTGGCAGGCGCCTGGGTGGCTCAGTTGGTTAAGCAGTTGCCTTCGGCTCAGGTCATGATCCCAGGGTCCTGGGATCAAGTCCCGCATCAGGCTCTCTGCTCCTTGGGAGCCTGCTTCTCCCTCTGCCTCTCTCTCTGTCTCTCATGAATAAATAAATAAAATCTTTAAAAAAAAAAAAAAGAAATGAGTTTGGTTAAGCTAGAACAGGAGTTGACAAAATTTTCTGTGAAGAGCTGGATAAATATTTTAGACTTTGTGGATCATACTGTCTCTCGTAGCAACAACTCTGCTGTCACAGCATGAGAGCGACCATGTACAATACCTAAATGAATTGAGAGTGGCTGTGTTCAAATGAAGATTTATTTATGGACAGTGGAAGTTGAATTTAACATAATTTTCACATGTCACAAAGTATTAGTCATCTTTTGGTTCTTTTCACTCACTTAAATATGTAAAAACCATCCTTAGCTCACAAACCATACAAAAACAGGCAGCAAGCCAGATTTAGTCCACAAGCTATAGTTTGCCAACTTCTGAGCTTGAAGAATATAGAGCGCAATTAGGGAGCAGTGGAAAATAAAATTGCAGAAGTAGTCAGAGTTTACGTCATGGATTAGAAATATTAGGTATAAAGTGACTGGTACATGGTATGCACTCAATAAATAGTAGATATCATGATTGATTTGATGTGTCATAGAAAGGGAACTAGCAGGCAACTTTAAGGAAGTGAGATTCATAGTCAAAACTGAGACCTACAATCACAAGATTTAGCAATAGCTAAACCAAGAGAAGGAAGAGGATGAATGAGGCCTTCGCTGAAATAAGATTGAGGGCAACTGGAGGGGCCCCAAAGGCACCAGCAAGACATTCTTGGTGATCGTTACTAGAAATGCGCACATGGATGACAAGATGTAATGATGCTTTAATTTTACGAAACACATGTGGAAACACATTGTCATTGCAGGCATGATTCATTTGCAGTCCATGAATTAAGATCTTAAATCGTTAATACAAAAGATGCTTCAGAGCAAATGAACTATATTTTTGTGATAGAGGAGCTTCTTTTATTATATGCAAGCTTATCAAACCAGAGATAAACATGGTGTACCAATGTTCGTGTTTAAAGTGCTCCCATTCTGCTCAGAATCACCAGATAGAATGTAGGCTGAGTAGTAAAATGGACTACCAGTCCTCCCCTCTAAACCACATCCCTACAAGCAGAGGTTTTCTTGTTCTGCTGCTTCCTAGTTGGGTGAACTTAGCCCAAACACTTACCTTTATTGGGCCTCGCCTTTCTCTTCTGTAAAAATGGAACTAATAATATATTTACTCATTTGAAAGCTGGAGAACAAATTTTTCACCTTTTTTTTTTCCCGTTAATTTGCATCACTATTAAAATTGTGAAGCATTTTTTTGTCTTTCTAGAATTATTATTATATTTTAAACTTCCAAACTTTTTGCCACCACAAAATTTCAGCTCTCAGCTTGCCATAAAAATAACCTGAACAGGGGTGCCTGGGTGGCTGAGTCCGTTCAGCTTCCGACTCTTGGTTTTGGCTCTGGTCGTGATATCCAGGGTCCTGATGTCCCGTTCATGATGTCTGGGTCAGGAGATGGAGCCCTGCATCCAGCTCCGCACCCAGAGGGGGTCTGCTTCCTCTCTCCCTCGCCCTCTGCCCCTCCCCCTGAAATAAATAAATAAATCTTTTTAAAGAAATAACCGGAACACACAGAAATGTATTAATATCATGGAACAGACATTTTTCTTCCTCGGTACACGAAACAAAACTTCACAGCCCACCAACAATGTACAATTGAGATTCTTGAGGATGTGCTTCAGGAACTGTTTGCTGAATACTTAAAAATAAAAATCAGTGTTCCATTTTTAAAGCACAGCTGGGCTGTGACTTCTCTGCTGTTTTTGCTTTATGGTCCCTTCTGATTCTTAGCTGTAATTAATTTACTGGAAAGATTTTACAGGACCGAATTAACAATGCAAACATGCCACTGTACAAGAAAAGTCTGTGCTGTTATTCTTCACGTCTCTATATTTTACAAAGCCATCACTATTTCTCCAAGAGGCTATCAGATACAGATCAAATTGTATCACATGGCAACAATAAAGCTCCTTTAACTACAATCACAAAACATTCCCAAGGATCATCTTATGGCCTACTAATGAAGTTTCAGGACTATTGGACAAAATAAAAATTCCAGTCTGACAAGGGACTGTCCCTTAGAAATTGTCTAGAAAGGAACTAGAGCTATGATAAATTAACATATGGTGGTGGAGCATTTCCTGGCTGTGGCTTCAGTTCTCATATTTCTGTCTTGCTCTTCACAGTATTATTGTTGTGATGGGGGAAAGGTGCCTGTTAATGATTTCTGTGCCTGTTGTTTTGCCCACATTCTCCAGAAAGCTCTTTCAAGACCGTTCTTTGGAATCAGGCTTTACGTGCACACTCCAAGTGAAAGTTGGGCATTTGCCAGTGAATTCAATGTCAGGGTCAACTGTCAGGGTCCAGGAACCCTTCTGTGAAAGGCAGTTTGGTGTAGAAGAAAGAGCACCGGACTAGAGTTGTGGGTCCTAATTCCGATCCCGCCACTTACTAGTATTGTGTCCCTTGACCAAATGAGCTCTCATTTCATTGTCTGTAAAATGAGAAGAATAATAACTGCCCTGCCTATCTCTCAGAGTTGTGAGGAACAAATAAAATACTGGCATGTAAAAGTCTTTTAAACAGTGCTAAGTAAATGTCAAGTCTTTTTTTAATTGTGGTAAAACATACATATAAATTTTACCATTTTAACCATTTTAGGTGTCCAGTTGAGTGGCCTTAAGTACATTCCCATTGTTGTCCAGTCATCACCGCCATTCATTTCCAGAACTTTTTCATCCTCCCCAACTGAAACACTACCCAGTAACACGAAGTCCCTATTCCTCCCTCTCCCCAGCCCTTGGCAACCACCACTCTAACCTTCTGCCTCTGTGAATCTGACTACCCTCAGGACCTTGTGTAAGTGGATCACACAATATTTGTCCTGTTTGTGACTGGCTTATTTCACTTAGTAAAACATTTTCAAGGTGGGCGCCTGGGTGGCTCAGTTGGTTGAGCAACTGCCTTCGGCTCAGGTCATGATCCTGGAGTCCCTGGATCGAGTCCCGCATCGGGCTCCCTGCTCGGCGAGGAGCCTGCTTCTCCCTCTGACACTCCCCCCTCTCATGTACTCGCTCTCTCTCATTCTCTCTCTCTCAAATAAATAAATAAAATCTTTAAAAAAAAAAAACATTTTCAAGGTTCATCCGTGTTGTAACATACATCAAAATTTCCTTTCTGTTTAAGACTGAATAATATTCCGTTCTCTATATAAGCTATATTTCATTTGTCTGTTCATTACTGGACAGTTGGGTTGTTTACCCACTTTGGCTATTGTGAATAATGCTGCTATGAACATTAGTGTACAAGTATCTGTTTGAGTCCCCACTTTCAATTCTTTTGGTGACACACCACATAGTGGAATTCCTGGATCATATGGTAATTCCTTGTTTAATTTTTTGAGGAACTGCCCTACTGTTTTCTACAAAGGCTGCACCATTTTACATTTCTGCCCATAGTACACAAGGGTTCCACTTTCTCCCACATCCTCACCAACACTTGTTGTATATATAATTATACATATTATATATATTATATTATATACATATGCCATCATAATGGTTATGAAGTAGTATCTCACTATGGTTTTGATTTCCATTTCCCTAATAATTCATGATGTTGAGCATCTTTTCATGAGCTATTGGCCATTTGTTAATCTTCTTTGGAGAAATAATCTATTCAAGTCCTTTGCCCATTTTTTAATTGGGTTGTTTGGTTTTGTTGTTGTAGAGTTCTAAGTGTTCTTTATATATTCTGGATGTTAACACCTTGCCAGATATATGGCTTGCAAATATTTTCTCCCATTTCATGAATTGCCAAATATTTTTACTCTCATTTACCTACCAGATCCTATAAAAAACATGCTCAGTCCTTCACCATGGAACTTTAGGAACACTCTCCCAAACAGAGTTTCTTGATGTAGACATGATACCATAGTTTAAAAAACAGATGAGAAATTTTCACTGGGGGGCACCTGGGTGGCTCAGTAGGTTGGGCATCTGCCTTCAGCTCAGGTCATGATCTCAGGGTCCAGGAATCAAGTCCCGCATCAGGCTCTCTGCTCCGTGGGAGTCTGCTTCTCCCACTGTGCTCACTCTCTCTCTCTTTCTCTCTCAAATAACTAAATAGAAATCTTTTTTTTTTAAGATTTTTTATTTATTTATTTGAGAGAGAGAGAATGAGAGCACATGAGGGGGGGTAGGGTCAGAGGGAGAAGCAGACTCCCCGCTGAGCAGGGAGCCCGATGCGGGACTCGATCCAGGGACTCCAGGATCATGACCTGAGCCGAAGGCAGTCGCTTAACCAACTGAGCCACCCAGGCACCCACTAAATAGAAATCTTAAAAAAAAAAAAAAGAAAGAAAGAAATTTTCATTGGCAAAGTTTTCTCTTCTGATTTAAGTAGTAAGAAAAAGATGTCAAACTTCCCCTACTCACAACCTATCTCAGTAAGATATTTAATGTGGTAGCAAGTTGGAAAGTGATTTTCTTTACCTGCTTATACAATAATTAGGTACATTAACAGATTTGACAACGAAAAGCTAAAGTTATATATGCCTGAGAGGAGAAAATAGAGACACTTTAAAAAATAACATTTTCTGTTTGTGCCTTGCCATTCACCATTCACAAAGGAAAAACGAACAAGCCATATCCTAGCAGAGAATAATCACCCTCTTCACAGGCAAACTGTTAAATTGCTTAGGTGGAAATAACATTCAAAAAAAAAAAAAAAATACTGAGTACCTGCCAGTCTTTCATTCAGTCGTTTATTTTATGAACTTGATATTTGGCTCTGTGTTAGGCACTGGAGAACAGAAATGAACGGACACAGTTCCTGCCTTCAAGGAGCTCTCACTGCGGGTTGGGGTGGGCTGGGGAGGGGAATGACCAAGTAAACAGATCATTACAATACAATATGATAAGTACTGGAGAGCTCTGAGGAGTGTTTCCATTGTGGATAATTCACAGCTGACTTCTGTGCAGAACATCTCAAGAGTATCAAGTCTATTGCTAACACATAGGGGCTTATGAAATCCATTACGAATATAAAACCTTATGAAATGTTAATTACTGCTATTACATTCTTGGTATTCTTTTAGTACTAATAGGTAGGGTGTAGAAACCACAGAGCATTTTGTGTCTAAAAATTTTTTTAATTTGTTTTCTTCATCAAAATAATGCCTTTTTCTTATAGAGAGTGCAAGCAATACAAAACTCACCAGTTAACCATCGTTAGCAGTTCACTATGTTCTAGTTCATCTAAAATAGCATCCTAAATTCAAAAGTGCTAAAAAGTGGCAAGAACAAAAGGATTTTAGTAAGTACTTGAAGTCTTGGGTCTATATGAGCAGAAGGCAGAGGCACCAAGGCAATCCCGAGCAAACTGTACAGGAGAATTCGCAAGGAATGGGGTTTGCATGATTAAAAGAGGATTCTATTCATTTACATACTAATGTTTTATACTTTCAGGTGCTGTATATTACTCTAAAAATGTATATTGCATTCCCCAAATCCCTGGCTCTTAGAAGATGCTGCTAAAGTTTATGTTTCCAGAGTTGTACTTGGGACCTTATGAATAGGTTAAGGAATATGATCATCACCGTTCAGAAGATTTATTCTGTATTATTCAAGTGAACTTTTGCCTGGAAGGAGATAAATCTCCAGCTTCTGAAACATTGGTCAATAAGTATATATTGGTCCCACATGGACGGATATGAAAGAGCATGTGATTTTTTTTTTCATGCCTTGTCCCATATTTATTTTCTTTTCTAAAATCCAAAGGGTGTTAGGGAATGAAAAATGTAGAGATGCAACCTGTCCAACTGTCAGGTCTCTTTGTTTTAGAAACATTAAGGAGACGGCACGATGTAACATAGCATAAGAAGAAAACTTGTGTATGAGACCTAGGTTCTACTCTTAGCTCTACCACTAATTAGATGTGTAATTTTAGATAAATCACTTAACCTCTCTAGACCTCTGTTTCTCATCTCTAATTACTCTATCTAGTTCATAGGTTATTGTGATGATCAAAAGAAATCATAAATGTGGAAGCACTTCAAATAATGTAATGCATGCATATTATAAGGTATCATTAATACATACATTTATCATTGGTCTGCAATACCACTCTGAGACTCAGGCAAGAGGAGCCCTGCCCTGAGCCCTGTACTTCACAAACACAAACACATTCAACTCTATTAAATATCTCTCAGCGTGTTCCTAGTATGGCCTCAACTCTGACAATAGCAACAATATTTTTTGGAGTGATTTAAAGATTATATACAGTACTCTCTGGATCTGACCCAAATGGGATCATCTTGATCAAACACATATCAAATTTGACCTCCCAGACATTCTGGTTAACAATGGAGACGCCATTTAAATGCTCTTAGAGAAGTAAGATTTAATTTAGACAAGATGTGAGCTGCACTAGGATAGTTAAGTAAAACGACAGAAGATCCTCAAATAAATAAGGAATTGTGGTCTATGGTGGAAAATATTTTTTATTTTGTGCTAATGAAAGTTATTTGGTATGGACGATTGCTTGCCAGTAATGATGTTAGTAGAAACTTATATAAGACATAGATCTAAGCTTGCCTATTTCACTTTTTATTTTTTATTTTTTTTAAAGATTTTATTTATTTATTTGACAGAGAGAGAGAGACAGTGAGAGAGGGAACACAAGCAGGGGGAGTGGGAGAGGGAGAAGCAGGCTTCCCACCAAGCAGGGAGCCCAATGCAGGCCTCGATCCCAGGACCCTGGGATCATGACCTGCGCCCAAGGTAGACGCTTAACGAATGAGCCACCCAGGTGCCCCTATTTCACTTTTTTTTTTTTTTAAGATTTTATTTATTTATTTGACAGAGAGAGACACAGCGAGAGAGGGAACACAGGCAGGGGGAGTGGGAGAGGGAGAAGCAGGCTTCCCGCGGAGCAGGGAGCCTGATGCGGGGCTTGATTCCAAGGACCCTGGGACCATGACCTGAGCCAAAGGCAGACGCTTAACGACTGAGCCACCTACGTGCCCCCCATTTCACTTTTTAAATAATTTAAAATACTTTTTAAATTTTTAGAGAAAATGATTTTTCTAAATAGAAATATGCTAAATGTGACTAGTACAACAAAAATGATAGTCCAATAAAATGACAGAAAATTGGAAGAGGAAATAAAAATGTTTGAATAATTATTAATTATTTGTATACAACTACATAACTATATATTATATATCTATATCTAGAGAGATACATGCTATTTTCTATTATAGGTATATGTAATATTTATATGTCATATGTATATTCCATTATAGGTAGAGGTATGGCCCCCTATGAAGAGAGATTTGAACAAATTGAACCACATATTTTTCTTTTTGCTTTGCTTTATATCTCAGCATGGAAAAAGTTGAAAGAAGATATAACACTGTATGGATATAGATATTGCTTATAGGTTGGTGGGAAAAAGTATAGATGATAGAATTTTTATGATAAAATTAAAATTTTGTGGTGTTTTCTATGATAATAGTCATTAGAGCAACCCCATTAAAATGTTTGAACATGATATGTAAAATTTGTGTTTCACTTCCAAATATAAGTATTGATTTAGAAATTTTATTGACAATTTTAGTTGCTACTGCCTCAGCAGAACTAAATTTCTCCAATTCTATCAAAGCAAAATTTTTAAAAAGATTTTATTTATTTATTTGACAGAGAGAAAGAGCACAAGCAGGGGAAGCGGCAGACAGAGGGAGAGGGAGAAGCAGGCTCCCCACTGAGCAGGGAGCCCGATGTGGGGCTCGATCCCAGGACTCTGGGATCATGACCCGAGCCGAAGGCAGATGCTTAACTGACTGAGCCACCGAGGCGCCCCTCAAAACAAATTTTTAAAACATCTAATATTAAGGAATTACTTTCTTCATATGAAAATAGTATTAAGGTTAATTTTTTAAGAGGTCCTTTCTTCTAGAGATGCATATTGATATATTATGTATAAAATGACAGGATATCTAGGATTTGCTTCAAAATAATTGGATATAGAGAGTTGGGGAGTATGGATGAGGCAAGACTGACTAAGAGTGAATAATTATTGAGGCTGGATGACAGGTACAGTGGAGTTCTTTATACTCTGTATCTACATTTGTAAATGTTTATTTGTAAATGTTTTTAAATTTCCATAATAAAAAGTTAAACAAAAAGCTAAAAAGTACATTGATTTAGGAAAAGTTTTGTTATTGGTGTCAACAGAACTCAAACTATGTGGATTATAACATTATAATTAGGGTTTTCCTGGAAAAAAACAAAATAAATATGTGGTAATTTATGACTTATGTACATCTTTATCTCATTACTCATCCAAACATCACAAGCCCATCAACACCCAAATGTATAATAATAATTAAGTCCAGTCTTTTTTGCTGTTTAACTGACTTTCAGTCATAAAAACCATTGCTTTATACATTAAAACTTTTTTGTCATAATAAAGGTATATTTGTCAGGGAAGGTGGATAGAACACCTTTATTTAATGGTTTTTTTACCTTAATTTACAACTTAATGAGTTGGACCTATCGTATATAGCCCTCTCCTTGCACTCTTGTACTGCAAATGTTAGGGGCAAGCATGCTCTCAGAATTTCCATTTTATTCTTTATTTTAACAACTAAGATGGTTTGGCAGGGAATACCTAGAAAAAAATTTTTTTAACTTATAATTGTCTTCCTCTATATATTTTAGGAAAATATTGTGTATTTTTGCTCAGTATCGTAAATGGGGCTCAGATATCTCTGAATATTCGACCCAAGGCAGGAGCCATGTGTGTTCATGGTTATGTTGACAGTCTGCCCCCTCCACAGACCAGCGACCAAATAGTCATTGCCTCCTTAGCAAGGATAGATGAGATCAAGTTACAGTCATTTCAGGGAAGACCTTAGGGGTAGTTTGAGATAACTGGTCATCCATATGGAAAAGTTCTGGAGAGTTCTGTTCATAACCCTAGCCTCTTATTCGATACTAATGGCTTTAGGATGATTTGTACAGAAGGAAAGTTTATGATCCCTATCTTTTATATGATACAGACATTTAGCTTCACGTTTTCTTAGCTTCCAATTCCCAAATGAGGCAATGTAAAGGGGTGAGGAGGGTTAAGATAATTATCTGGACAACAATTAGTCCAGGCGACCAACTAACTAGTTTGTTTTGTCTAAACTATTCATATATTCCTGCTCTAAAGTCCTTTTCCTGCTTGAATTAGATGGGTGATAGTACCAGCCTCCACATACCACAATACCGGGCTCAAAAAAAACTTACCTCCTGTGAAGTATGTTCATACTACAGCTCTCCAATTCGAAGACACTTTTGATTGTAGAAGTGACCAAAAATGTAGTAACCAGTTTTTTAGGAGATAAAAGAAAAAGAATGTGAAATTAATTCTAATCTTATAAACACCAAAATGTGTGTGTTGGGCAGGGGGGAGTATGTCTTAGAATTGAGAAAACACTAAAATGTGATTTTTTGAAGTGTACTTTAAAATAAGAAAGTTATTATAACTCTAATGGGACGCCTTGGAGAGTGATGGGAGTCAGAGAAAGGTATACATGTGGGTCACTGGGGTGCCTGGGTGGCTCCGTCGTTGAGCGTCTGCCTTCGGCTCAGGTCATGATCTCAGGGTCCTGGGATCGAGCCCCGCATCGGGCTCCCTGCTCGGCGGGAAGCCTGCTTCTCCCTCTCCCACTCCCCCTGCTTGTGTTCCCTCTCTCGCTGTGTCTCTCTCTGTCAAATAAATAAATAAAAATCTTAAAAAAAATAATTAAAAAAATAAAAAATACATGTGGGTCATTATGTAGGAACAGCATGGTCTGGACCTCTGCTCTGGTCAGAAAGGCATGAGAGCATGAGGACCTGGCAGGAAGAACACCAAGAGTAGGGAGAAGGGGGCTTGAAAGCAGTCATGGGTCATGCAGGAATGCTGCCTAAGGCACATTACATTACATTAGGAAACTTGCCTGTGGCTGGCTGTGCCTCCAAATAATCCTAAACAACCAGAAACCAACAAGAAGTTGTCAAGGTGAGCCCTCAGTTCTATAACTTCTTCCCTCAGGTTCTTGTCAAAACCTAACCACCAGGCAAAGCACGAGACCTACCGGCTAGCCTGCTTGAGAAACAGGGCTGAGTGGTCTACCTCCCGGAACATTAAAAATTATATTTAATCTCATTTTAGTGTAATGCTAAAATACTTTTAATTCTGTATGCTAAGAAATGCAAAATGTTTTGAGACTAAATACCAGAGGGTATAGTCATTAGGTGTTACTGCGTTTACCCAATAATTGGCTCCTTTCCTATAATGGATGAATCTCTGTTTCAAAATGGAAAAATAAATTAAACAGTCAACAAATTCCTTACATAAAGGTCATATGAGCTCTCTGTAACCAGAATGAGGTATTTCAGTAAGTTTACTGAGTACCTGGTATTTTGTTCAGGTGGCTTGCTTCACTCTGTAAATGCCAATAACCAGTGTTTAGAAGTCTGAACTATTATAATGGTCACTTTCATGTAATAATCACATCCTTATTCTCTGGGGGAAAAAAAAAACAACATAAAAATTGTGAACACTGGGTACCTGGGTGGCTCAGATGGTTAAGCGTCTGCCTTCGGCTCAGGTCATGATCCCAGGGTCCTGGGATCGAGTCCCGCATCGGGCTTCCTGCTCAGCGGGGAGCCTGCTTCTCCCTCTGCCTCTCTCTCTGTGTCTCTTATGAATAAATAAATAAAATCTTTAAAAAATAATTGTGAACACTATGTGACTAAACAGGAAAAATAAATACCTTTTAACAGTTTGGGAGTGGGAACAGTGTTTGAAGATAGAAAACAGAAAAGGAAAAGAGATATTCTGGATTTTCTTGAAAATTTTGATTCTGCCTTCACCACTTTCAAACTCCTGCGAAAAATCTCTGTGGCTCCATATTCCTCATTCCCAACTTCTATCTAGGTAGAGAGAACACTTTGGTTTTTATGCGTCCTATTTTTTAAGTCCTGGGTAAGAAGCTATCAGATGGCAACTGAAGGTATTGCCTCTTTCATTCATTAAACTCCTACTATGTGCCAGCCATTGTGCGGGACATCATGGAACCCAAGATGACTAAGATAAAGTCCCTACTCTTCAGAAGCCTTAACGTGGGGTGGGGAGAGTCGTCAGGGGTTGGGACCAGACAAGAAAACAAATCATTAAGCCACTGGCTATTGATTACAGGGAGGGAGTACCAAACAGGATTACCTGCATCAGCCTGTGGAGTGTGTCTTGGGGGCGGGAGGTGGGGCAGCGGTGGTGCACTGGAAGACCTGACTGGGAAGAAAAGACACAGTGTAAAGTCTTAACCAATGAGTAGAAATTAGCCAGATGAAATGCAGCAAAAGGATGCTGAAGAGCCTTCTTGGCAGAAGGGACAGAAATAAAATTGGCGGAGATCAGTGGGTCATTAGATGGGGGCTGGTTCAAAAAGAGAGGAATCTCAGAGACGGGCAGGTGGTGGCTGCTAAAGCACACGCAGCACGGTAAAAATGGGGTTTTAATTAGATTTTTCTTCTGTCAACTCTGCTTTGGGGAACACCCCTTTTGTCCTGACCCAGGTCATGGCTTCTAACCTGGCACCAGTGAAGAATAGGCCAGTAACTAATCTCACCCTTTGGGGTTGGCACTTCGGCAAGTTACCATCTCTCTAGCTTCCTCCTTGCTCTCCATCTCTGACATTCATTCCCGATAAACCTCTTTATTCAATGCATTTTGCTGCTTGTTTGGCTGGTGTTCCAGATGCCTAATAGCCAGTTACATTAAACTTACCTTTATACTTATTGATCTTTCTTCGCTAGAAAGAATACACTTACTCAAATAAGATCTTAGGTTTTTTTGGTTTTTTTTTTTAATGATTTTCAAAGAAATAGCCAAGAGCCAAGGGCTAAGGGCCAAGAAAGCCAATAATAATGATAATAGCTACAAAAATGGGCTTTTGTTGGTTGTCTCCTTAGTGTCTCAGCTCTGCCTTCTCTCCCCCACAGTCTCTTGATTGTCATTTGAGGAATCCACCTCTCCCTATGCAGCCCCTGTGCTTTCGGGGAAGCTGACCTGCTGCCTGGTTGGTTTAAACCAACCATCACATTCCATCATCCCATGCACAACTTTTGGTTCCCAGGGCAGGCATGTGATTTAAGTAAGAGAGTATCAGGATACTTGCTAGGCTGCTGGGACCAAGTCATTCTCCCTAGATGTGGATGAGGGAACCTGTATTTTTTTGGAGCTATTGGTGGGCCACCTTGTGATCACGAGTTGCTGGTTTCAGGATAAAGTTGGCAATGCAAGAGGCAGAGTGGAAAGATGGAAAGAAACTGAACTCTTAGTGACTAAAGACGTAAACAATCCTTAGTGAAATAAACTAATCGGCAAAAGCCTACCCTACCTCTGGACTTTTCGGTTTCACGAACATTCCCGTGTTTAAACCAGTTTGAGGTGTGCTTTTTTGGTACTTGCAACATAAAATATTCTATGCCATACAGTTACTATATGTTGAGAGCCTACTATGTGCCGGGCATTGCACTGTGTGTGCTATGGGCTAATTTTTACAACCATATTTCTTCTTCTTTTTTTTTTAACAATTGTGGTAAAGTACACATAACATAAAATTTCCCATTTTAAACTTTTTTAAGTGTAGAATTCAGTGACACAATGTGTAACCATTACCTCTCTCTACTTTCAATCATAATAATATTTTGAGGTGGGTATTAATATCCTCATTATACCAAAAAGGAAATTGATCCTCAGAGAGGTGCATTACCCAAATCCGACCACAGTTAGTGGTACAGTCAGGATGGAAACCCAAGGCTGTGTGACTGCAAAGCCTAGGTTTTTTCTACTTCATTATAGCGCCAGATTAAATTATCAAGCAAGGAAACAGGAAGTCTTGGTCAAATTATCAGCCCGGGGTCCAGATTAGGATCTTGGGAGGTGCAGATCCAACAAACAGGATACACAGTGAGGTGATCAGAATCCAAATCATCAAAGGCTGGACACTAGAGGTGGAAATCAAGGGAACAGAGAAAAGTGTTTAGGTTCAAGAAGTAAGGTTGAAAGGGGTCTCATCAGTGGACAGTTTAAGAATATCTGATTGTATTTGCTCACCCAACCCTAGTTTGTAGGTGAAAAAATCTTGCCCTGCCCACTTATTTCCCAAAGGATTTTGACCTGAAGACTAATAACAAACTATATTCTAAAACAAAAAATACCCTCAATTCTATGTTAAGCATTCATTAAACTAAGTCACATAATAAAGTTGATCTATATCAAAAGGGAGACACATCCTGTCGTGGGGCCTGGTCCTTTAAATGAGGTCTATAATGACTGGAGAGCTCTATTACCTTCTTGTTAGGATAAGATGGATTCCAAGTAGTGTTTCCTTAAAAAAAAAAAAAAATTACAAGCTTATATGCTAAAAGCTATCCACCTTTGATGAGTATCTCTTAATTGTTTACTTTTTAACTAAGGGTTTTTAACTAGGGTCATTAGAACTCAAGGGTGTTTAATCTGTTGATCTGTTTGTTTTCAAAAGTCTGACTCCTTTCATTTGTGATCTTAGGTAAGTAGTAGCTTGGAGGGTTTTACTTATACAAAAAGATCAGTTCCTTAATTTTCAATTTCCGTAAGTGTAAATTTTTGCAGTGTCAGAGGTTCTCTTGAAGTGGGGGAGGGGAAGTTATGAGAATGGATTGGGTAAGACTCCCCACTGTTTCATGCCCCAAAACCTGGACCTCCACACCAAGGCCCCTTCTCCAGTTGCGTAGTGAACAAAAATACTAACATTTTCTCAACAATTATTTTATATATAAATTTAAGTGCCGACCTTAATGATTCACTGCATACTGAACAGAAATATGACAGGGGCAGGAGCTTCATAAAGCCAAGGTCATTTTACATGGTTGACTCGTGACTGAGGCTTATTACCTTTCTCCCTCTAAAGCAGCGTTTAGGGAGTGAACCTCCATCATATGTGTGGGCAGTCTGTTTGGCAATACAGTGTTTTGGAAAGTAAAACAGAAAACTGATTTAAAAAAAAAAAGTTTGTGTGTGATTTTAATAGACTTTATTTCTTTAGAGCAGTTTTAGGTTCACAGGAAAATTGAGCAGAAAGTAGGGTAATTCCCATATACCCCCTGCCATACACATGCATAACCTCCCCCAGGTTTTTGACCTGAAGTGTACCACCCCCAGCGTGGTGGTACATTTGTTAAAATTGATGAACCTATAATGAATGACATGTTATAATCACCCAAAGTCCACAGTTTACATTAGGGTTCACTCTTGGTGTACATTCTACAGGTTTAGACAAATTGATAATGACATGAATCCACCATTATAGTATCACCCAGAGTTTTATTGTCCAAAAAACCCTCTGTGCTCTGCCTGTCACACCCGACCTCCTCCCTAACCCCTGGCAACCATTGATCAGCACGGTCTCCGTAGTTTTGCCATTTCCTGAATGCCATATAGTTGGACTCATATAATATGTAGCCTTTCCAGATTGGCTTCTTTCACTTAGTAATATGCATTTCTGGTTCCTTTATGTCTTTTCATGGCTTGATAGCTCATTTCTCTTTAGTGCTGAATAATATTCCATTGTCTTGATGTACCACAGTTCATTTATCCATTCACCTACTGAAAGACATTTGGTTGCTTCCAAGTTTTGGCCATTATGAATGAAGCTATTATAAACATCTGTGTGCAGGTTTTTCTGTAGACATAAGTTTTCAACTCCTTTGGGTAAATATCAACAAGTGTGATTACTGCATCTTATGGTAAGAGTACGTTTTGTTTGTTCGTTTGTTTTTTAAAGATTTTATTTATTTATTTGTCAGAAAGAGAGAGCACAAGCAGGGGGAGGGGCAGGCAGAGGGAGAAGCAGGCTCCTTGCCGAGCAAGGAGCCCGACACAGGACTAGATCCCAGAACCCTGGGATCATGACCTGAGCCAAAGGCAGACGCTTAACCAACTGAGCCACCCAGGGGTCCCAAGAGTATGTTTCATTTTGTAAAAAAACCACCAAACTGTGGGGGGCCTGCTTCTCCCTCCGACCCTCCCCCCTCTCATGCTCTCTCTCTCTCCTTCTCTCAAATAAATAAATAAAATCTTAAAAAAAAAAAAGAAAAGAAAAGAAAAGAAACCACCAAACTGTTTTCTGAAGTCACTGCACCATTTTGCCCTCCCACCAGCATAAGAGTTCCTGTTGTTCCTCACCTCACCAGCATTTGGTGTGGTCAGCTTCCAGGATTTGGGCTGTTCTAATAGGTGTGGAGTGAGTCTCCTTATCTTTTCAATTTTTACCCATCACTCCTTGCAGTAGCACGTCTTTTCTAAAGGACCCATGGAATCTGAGGGCTGTGTAGTAGGTGGCACAAACAAAGCAACATTAGATAAATGATAGAGTGAAAGGCTTAGATCCGAAAGGCTCAGAGAGTCATACGGGGGCCCTGGGGAAAGGAGTCATCTGGCACCCTTTCAAACCAATATTGTTTAAATAGCTGAGGGCAGAGAGAAATTCATTTTCTATTAATATAAAATGTATAGCTCTTTATGGTTAAAGTAAAGAATTTATTACATGCATTGAATATAACAATATTTCCACTTATTCGGAATTGTCTTTCATTTCACATTTTTCATTTATAACTTGAACAGCAATAGTTACTCACCAAGCATAGAGGTAAATTATAACTACAAAATCTTGCTCAAAATATATTTACACGGTCTTGTGTTTTTTTCCAGTTTCTGTGTCACAAAAACAGTTCTAACTTTTCTGAAGTTCTTGTTCTTTTCATTTTTCTTTTGGGAATTTCTGAACTAGGCAACATCTTGCAAGATACATTTCATGGCTTTAAGATGTAGAAAATAACCATCTGTCCCCCAAAACAGTGTTAAAAATTGGGGGTAGAATTCCAAATTCAAATGCTAGCAGCCCCACCTCTTCTACTGATCAACCTACTCGAGGGAACATGCACACCTGTGTCCATGCCCCAGTAAGAACCCCAGGGTCATTTTCTGGGTCAGCAGGCAAATGCCCAAACTTAAAGCTTGGATCAAGGCTGGCATAGGCCAGGAGGTCTAAGTGAGGCCTCTTGCTTTTCCAACCCCAAATCTAAATCCTGTGACCCCCTCAAGTATGCCAGAAGAAAGAAGAGTGGGAGTGAGGATAAGAACAAGACTTTGAGAGAGAGGTGTGAATAGCTGAGCACAAGTCCACCTACCTGACCAGGTGCCAGGATGACGTTGGCCTGCCAGACCCATGGAGTTGAGAACAGGAAGGGGAGAGGGGGACAATGAGGCCTCCTTACCAGAGATAGCCCATCCCTACCTCCCCACCCTCACTCCCCTGGAGACAATAGGTGCAAAGCAGCCTACTCCTCCTCCGGGTAGGAAATAAAAAAGCAGCACTAGGGCTCATAAGAAAGGAAAGTGTCTTTTTTTTTTTTTTAAGATTTTATTTATTTATTTGAGAGAGAGAGACAGAGAGAGAGCATGAGAGGGGGGAGGGTCAGAGGGAGAAGCAGACTCCCTGCCGAGCAGGGAGCCCGATGCGGGACTCGATCCAGGGACTCCAGGATCACGACCCGAGCCGAAGGCAGTCGCTTAACCAAATGAGCCACTCAGGCGCCCGGAAAGTGTCTTTCAATGTCATGATCCTTCCCTCTAGTGTCCCCAGAGTCTCTGACCAGACAAATCACTTCTTCCATGTGGGGAGGCTCTAACAAGAGGGTAAATAGAGGCAAAGGTTGGAGTGGAAGTTTCCTCCTTTGAGAGCTCTGGCAGAAAAGCTGAACAACCCCCGCCCCCCCAACACCACCTCATTGTTTATTTTCTCTTTAACAACTGGGCTTAATAAGCAAATGTTTGTTCAGCCAAGGTTGTCCAACTAAGAGAGATCAGCAGCTTCCTTGGTCATTACCACTGCTCCTCGCTATAACTTCCTGGGACTGAGATGCACAGGTAAACTGGTCCCCCTAAGAGTTTCTGTAATGGGTCATAACAGATCATTAATCAATTTAACTTCAAGGCCACACTGCACCCTCGGCACACTCGGCCAAATATTCACTCCCTACTGCATTTCCCATTTGAAGTCATACATAGTCACACTGTCCGAAACTGGTCAACAGAGAAGATTACTTTCAAAAGTCCAAATAAAACAACACAGAATGATTAAAAATGGAGTGATGACAACAACAGGAAGAGAGAAATTCAAGTCCAAAATGAATTCCTCTTTCTACCGTAAATTGAACTCCAAAGACTTTAAAAAGTCCAGTTACTCTTCTCCCTGGTTTTCTGAGCCTCTCAGTCCCTGTCAGAAGATTCTCCTTCAAGTGCCTTGGGGCTTGGGTTCCTTCCGCAGCCACTGTACCCTGAGCCTTCTTCCTGAAGGGGTAGCACCTTCAGAAGGCAGTAACCCACCCAAATCTCTCGAGTCCTACAAATGTAGAAGCAAATGTGACTTTTGCAGTGAGAGCAGTTTGCAAAGAAGATGATGTTCCTAGGACCCCGTGAACAGACAGCCCCTCGTTGCTGTTGCCCATCAGAGACTGCAGCAGACTGTTACCTGGGGGAAGGGGAATAATGCAGGGGAAACAAAGGCTGAAGAGAGAACAGCTTTTTGGTTTCCACCTTGCAGGGATGCCTGTTAGAACATCTCAGTTTTCCAACTGCTACATGTGAATTTAAATTCAGTTGCGATAAACTTCCAAACAAGAGGTTAATTCTGACATAGAACGTAGTTGCTTTTAATGACATAGTTGACTTCCTATACAACACCTTCCTCCTTTTCCTCAAAAAAACCTCCTTTTTTTCCTACGGACCCTCCATCCAACTGAGCACATGTGAAGCTATCGGGGCAAGTTTGATTGGTCTAAGACTAATCTTCATCCTTGCCAGAGATTCTTTCAAGAAGAGACATAGAGTCCAATTAGGTGCCAAGAGACATGAGGAGGTTTTCAGTGGCAGCATCTCTAATGTCTGGATCACACCCAAATCTTCCTCTTTCTCTTCTAATGTTTTGAACACTTCTATTTCCATTTCCTTTTTGAGTCTGGTGTTCCTAGCCTGAAAGACATGT